TTTTTGTATAAAATAAATATTATAATATTACCTTAACACTAAATTTTCATTCAGCACTATTATTTAGTGCTTTGTTCATTAGCTATTTATTAACTTATATCAATAAGCTTTAATCAGCCTAGAAGCCTTAGTTGGCTATTTTATCTAGACTAGGTGGACGTAACAGACTTTATAAACGAAATGAATTATAATATATTTATATTTGCCTGCTAACTCAGCTAAGGTAATAACAAGAAGGCAGCAAACTTCAAAAATAAATTCTCAATGACAGCATAAAATTGTGCAACACAGGAATATGGCTCAAGGTCTAGCATAGCAAAGAATATGCTCAAAATTCTATCATAGTCGGACTCTAAATCAGTACAAAGTAAACAAAGTTTGGACTTGTAATAGAACGCGACTCTATCGCGCTCTCTCTCTCTCTCTCTCTCTCTCTTTCTCTGTGTATTTAAATGAGCTCGACTGTCGTCAGCAGCTTTAAGTAGAACTTCAGTTTTGTTTACATCTTTTTGCCATGCAAAACCAAATGAATAATGAAGGAAATAATATCTCAAACAATTCGCTTGAAAGACGAGCGCACGTCGCTCTCTTCAAAAGTTTCGTGAAACAATTTCAGTTTAAATATTCTTCTAGGAATTCTGGGTAATAATTAGGCATTATGCGCACATGCAAATCAAATAAATCAAATCAATCTCAATTTACACAAGCAATTGATGGTCAACTGTAATTAAACACAATTAGCTCGGTCGAACGAAAGTGTTTTGGCCATTCAGCTGCCGCAATGAGAAAGTGAAAAGGCCGACAAAAATATGAACAGCTGAACCAAAAGCAGCAAACAGAAAAACAAAACACAATAAGAGTGGGTAGAACAAAGTATGCTTAGTTGTAATGCGGTAAAATTAGGGAGAATGTCGCTGGCCGAAAAACGGCAAATGCCATGCGGCCGTTACATAAAAGCCCATTAAAGCCCCGGCCACTGGGCGTGGCATAGTTTATGGCATTTTAATCATTTAACAACGCTTTTGGTTTGCAGTCAACATGCAAATTGCTGGGCGAGCAACCGAACAAAACGAACAGAGCGAACAGAGCGAACAGAGCGAAGCGAAACCAGCGCCAGAAACACAATAAAAAATTGCCTATAAATGGGCGGAAGAGCAGAGTCCGATGGGAGCGACGCAGGTGGTGCTGTCGGAGGCGTAGCTGCGGCATTGGGTGGCAGGAATTTAGTCGCACGCACAAGGACAACAACGGCGAAACGAAGGACAACAGACAGTGGCAGCAGCAGCAGCAGCAGCAGCGGCAGCGGCAGCGGCAGAGGCAGCGGCAGCGGCAGCGGCAGGGCACTCAAACAGAACAACAAAGCGAAACTTCCGCATAGGATGCGACGAAACGGAAGTTATTTTGGCCATTTGAACGCACGGATCTATCTCATCTATCTGTGCTGCTATCTGCTGCTGATAATGGCAGCAGCTGGCAGCAACAATGTGGTAAATGGACTCAAATGCTACTGCAATCCAAAGGAATGCGATGTTATACGCGCACTCGACTGCCCCGGCAAGGGCCTAATGCTCTGGGATCCATGCCAGTAAGTTGAATGGCCCAACCCATTCATCCATACATCCATACATCCATACATCCACATCCATATATCATTCATTTAATGTGCATCGATATTCGCATACGTAATCTGTGTTCTCTGTTCTGCCCTCTGCTCACAGATGCTGTCGCATTTGCGCCAAAACTCTGGGCGAATCCTGCGGCGGACCCGGCGGCTTTTCCGGCCAATGCGAGCCGCCCCTGCAGTGTGTCACCAAACTGCCCATTAGCAGCGGCCTGGGCGTCTGCATGGGTAAGCATCTATGACATATCCTATTGACTCGCAAATGTACATATATATATGAATATCTAATGGGCATATGCGCCGGCACGCAACGGGTTAATGTGCATGCCATTTTGGCTAATCGCCTGGAGCAGTTGGCCAAGTCTTCCATTTGACCAAATTGAATGTCATTACTTGAGCAGCGGGAGGTCTATGTTGATCTGAATTGCAGAGTGAATATGAGTTGGGAATAATATTATTTCATTTGTCTGGGCTAAATTGGTATCTATTAGAGACTAAGCTTTGTTAGAGTCCAGAGTTGACAGCTTGATGAGATCTGAGTGAATATTGTGGATATGTCAAAATGCTAGCATTAAGCTTATCTTAGACACATTTAGTAATTATATACGCCACGCCCCTAGTAGGCGTATAGCAATATAATTCATATTCTATAGATCCTAGCCTTCTCATCCGTATCAGATTTTAAGTCTTTAGCTTCGATAGCAATGAAATTCTTTGCAGTCATACGAACAGACCTCAAAGTGAACACTTAATAAAGTCTATAGGCACTTTTAAACAATAGTGGGTTGCATAAAAGGTTCAACTTAATAGAATTGTATAAATCTGCATGCGTAAATAAAGTGCAACAAATTTCAGTCAAGCACTAAAACTGTTGTGATAGGAAAATGCAAAATGCAAAATGCAAATGAAATTTGCAGTGGGCGCAGGCAGGACAATGGAGGCAGGGAGCAGGAGGTTTAAATTAAAATTATTATATATGTATGTATGTGCGATATAATCAGATTTAAATGAGGCGAAATGCTGTTGAAATCGAATGATTTTGCAGCATTTATATTTGATAAATCATATATTAAATGCTGGCTTTTGACGTGGTCAATAATTTATTTGTGACAGACCTGCAACACCTGACGGCGCTCACCTTTAATCAGCTCAGCAACTGCACGCAGGAGGAGTCGATTGTGCTGGAGCCGGGCTGCGAAATAACCAACAAGCGCTGCCAATGCTGGCCCACAATGCGCACCTGTCTCAGCCAATTGTCCAGCGATGGCGGCTCACCGAGCGATTCACGTTGGCATTTCAAGAATCTCGAGGTAAGCCACATATATATATATGTATATATGTATATTTATATACATGTTGATTCATATAATGAAATTTCCATTAATATTAAATCATTGATTTATTTATTAATTACGCACAGGACTGCCAATTAAATTTGCAAAATCTAATTAAAATCGAACAGGAATTCGATGAAGACTATAAAATCTCACCGAGCAAATTCACATACAAAAAGCTGCGCAGAAAGCGAAAATCGCTGAGGAAGCGACTGTGGGTGAAATGATTGCCAAGCATAAATGAGCAATTGCTACACGATTATTTAACAATAATAATTAKCATTATTATTATTGCTCCATTTTCATGTGCAGCATCATTTTGGAGAATGGCGACAGTTCGCATGCCATATAAACGTCCCTCTTTCACATAAATACAATTCTTGTACAGATACTAATGCTTAATTCTATGACATGTGGCTAATATAAATACAATACGATAATAAAGAGCATATACATATACATTATAAATATATAAATAAATATATATTATATATACACGCACATGCTTGCATGCGTGCATGTGACATGTGGCTATTGTATGTAATCCCTAAGGCATTTGTTACTTTATTGTTTTTAACAAAACAATTTGTGCGCATACATAATGTATTATACATTGCAAATTTCTATTCCTAAACTAAAGACAGGAAAAAACGAGAGAAAAACAAAATTACAAATACACAAATACCTAAACAATAAATTTAAAGCATTTTACGAGTGTTGTTGCTTTCAAGAATAATCCGATTATGGAGAAGCATCGAAATATATATATACATGTATACATATATAAATGGCCAACAAATTGATGTGTTTTTCTTTTAGTTTGGGCGTGCTTTGTTAGTTGGCCAAAAGCCAATACTTAAGTCATCATTGCTGCTATTTGAATTACCCGCCCTGTTGACTGTTGACTGCTATGCTAACCGTTTCGTTACCCGTTTGACTTGTTGACATTGAAATTTGCATTGAGGCACTGCACTGTAACTTCGTATTTTATTGCATACTTTTAGGCACTTTATATTATTGAACTGAATCGAGAGCGCATTTGAATGTGATTAATGCGAGCTATTACGTAGACATAAGAACAAGATCGATTGTGGCGTTTCAGGATTGTATAGTTGTGTATTTCATAGAGATGATGCTACTACGTACTCACTTCATAAGCTAGACAGTTTTTGCAAAGGCCACCAGCCAAGTGCGATAATCCATGACAATGAAAGTACTTTTGAGTTATACACCGGTGCTTTTATAGACTTAAATGAAGCCATTATTTTCAATCTTAATTATATATAGCATCTTTAACTGATGTTTAATGCATCACTAGGTTTTCGAAAATTGCTTAACACTTTAATTCAAATTTGAATTGGTTAAATTACTTTTGCCGCCTAGCTGTTGCTATGTTACGCTCGGACCGGTTAACATATAGTCTTTTTACAGCACTGATGTAAATGCTGCAATTCTCTGCACCGCAGCCTGGATGATGTCGACGATTTAGAATTGTAAAAAATGATATAAAACACAATATATTTGTTTAGTTTTAACTTTAAATGTTATCAAAGTTATTGTTGCTATATTGTTGATAATAAACAATCACTTATAGCAACTTTGAATTATGCGGCAGAATTTAATGTATATTCGCAGTGCTCTTAAGCTGACTGCTATGAGACTAATTTAGTATTTGAGCATTTTGACAGCAGCTATAGAAACGGTTAACATGATTTGCAGGTCAATTTGCCTCAGCGTTTATTGCATTTTCTTGAAATCAATTTTCAGAATTTAAATTAAAATGAAAATTGGTTCAGCAAGCACATTTTAATAGATTGTGCTGGCAACAAAGAAGATTATTGCCACAACATTATCATCTTTCAGTATTTTCAATGTAATGCGAAAGGTGAACTCGGGCACAGCTGGTGGATAATCATCCGCTTGGACCGTATAGTTGCGAATTTCGAAGAGTTTGTTCTGTTCTTTTGCAAATTGGAATATTATAATTGCTTAGGATATAGTGAATTGGAGTACTTACGCCAGGTATTGGACACTTTTTTGGCAAATTGCTGTGCTGTTGAATACGTTTGTACAACTTTCCATACATATTATCGTTATACATCAATTTGAGGTATTTGCAGCCATCGACTTGGTTGTTGCCCAATTTAATTATACTGTTGTCCGATTTGATAATGTCCACATAAAAGTGGATATTAAATTTCGACACTGTTTTGACGAGTATGAAGCGCGCAGATAACATAGGTTCGGGGCGCCTCCTATGAATAATACAGGTCAACTCCTTGCCATAGGAGGGATCAACTAATATACAAGTCAAATTGGCAAGATCAATGGTAAGGTTGCGCTGTGGAATCATATTGATATGAAAGCAGTTGAACTAGGATAACGAAACTCACCTTGGCCTGAGCCATGCCCAATGAAGTCACACAACCTATCAGGTATATCCAAGCCCGATAATTCATGATGCTACAGTTATACTTCAATCGACGAAAGCTGCTTCATAACCGCTTTTATATACAAAAATGGTAATAAACTCATTTGCTGCGCTTAATTATAATGTCATCAATAAAGAAATGATATGTTAATTGCATATTTAATATATATGAACTATTCAGTTTAATGGGTTCTATTAACCATATAAAATTTGAATGCTTCATTAGTTTTGTAAAAAACGTTAATTCGTTAAAGTGCTACTGCTTTAAAGCTGACTGCTAAGACACACGTCATCCGTTTCATACACAGTCCTTGAACCGGTTACAGTTTTACATACAGCTCACATGTTAATGCTGTAACAATTCGCTGCACCACAGCCTCAATGCCGCCAATTCAAAATTAAGTTCAAAATGCAATGGGCAATGTAACTAATCAGTCCTCTAATAAATAATCAAAAAATAATAAAAACTCATTAGCAATGCTTGTAGTTCCGCACATAAATATGCATAAAGATTTACATATATATTTTGAAGGAATTACTCATTTTAATACCGAGCTGACGCCACAATGAGAACATCGGCCAGTGCTTGTTTGAGTCGAAAGAATGTGGCCTTGACCTGGAATGTCAAGGCAGGCATAGCCATGGGAATATTTTCCAGCGTAATTGTATAGTTGCGCACCTCGTAGAGTATGTTCTGTAATTAGATTTCAACTAAATTATTATATTAATTTCATTAATTGAGTTAGTTGCACAAAACTTACGGGTTGAATGGGACATTCTCTGGGCAAATTGCTGGCTTTGAAAAGTGTCTCAAAGATGCCGCTTTGGAATTTCTTCTTACACGCTGAGCTCAGATACTGGCAGCCATCGAGTTTGACATGCTGTATGTTTATCTTAGAGTTATCCTTTTTGATAATGTCAAAATCAACCATCAGATTGAACTGCTCAATCGCTTCGCTCAGACTGAAGCGCGCACTCAACATTGCCTCGCCGCTCTTCTTGTTGCTGCTGCAGCTCAATTCGGGCAACAGTGAAGGAATAAAACTCGAGCAGCTAAAATTCCTGATTTGAATTATAACAGGACGTCGCTGTAACAGAAATTACTATAATTACTTGACGTAGAGGGAGAGAGCGAGAGAGCAAGGAGTCTTACCTTAGCCTGGCTGGTAGCCGGCACAGCGACCACTACTAGCAGCCAGAGCCAAATTTGCTTGTTCATGATTATTTCAAAATATTCATGAGAATTCGCGTGTTTTATACCAATAAATTTAATGAACTTTTAATTTGTTTTGACTGGAAAAAGATTTACTAGAGAATCAATGGATTAATTTGTTGAGCATTTTTGATTTATAGATTATTTATATATTTGTTGATTCGATATTTGGAATTTGTATTTATAATATAATTTTGCTATTTGAATGTTGACCTCGTTGGATTTTGGATATTGGGAAATGGGAATTGATTGTCAAAAGGTTTCGATTTAGAGTAAAAGTGAGCTATTAGTTAAATCATTGCATGTGCGTCTCTTCATGGCAGCTGGTGATAGAGAAAGTCTTATTTGGAAAACATTTTCTGYACTGGAATAATTTATTTAATTTTAAAGGACAATATATTTAATATTTAATATTTAATTTAATTTAATATATTTAGGTATTTATTTAATTTTTAAGGACAATATATTTAATATTTAATATTTAATTTAATTTAATATATTTAGGTATTTATGTAGAGAACAGAAGCCTGTCCATATACAGAAAACGCCTGATATAATGGATAGAGTCAAATGAACATTAAATATTCATATTTTAATTAGATAAACTAGATAATTAATAGTTCAGAGCCAAGAACTCAGATTCCAGATTTAAAATCAGACAAAAGCCAAAGCCATAAGCATTTATAATTCAGCTCATGAATATGAATTTATATTATGTATCATATATGCCTTTGCTTGGGCAAGGGCTCATTTCAATACTTGGCCGAAGCCTCTAGGAAAACATCGCCAAAAAGTTGTTTGGCTCGAAATAGTTTTAGCTTGAAGTTGAATGTCAGAGTAGGCAGAGCCATGGGAATTCTGTCCAGAGTAATTGTATAGTTGCGTATGGTGTAGACCTTGTTCTAGAAATAGATTCGAGTGAACAACATTACGGAGATGAGCATTATAATCTTCATCGACTACTTACGGCTAGGAATGGACATGCTTTTGGAAAATTGCTATTTTCGAAAATTCTTTCATAGACTTCGCCAAGAAGTTTGTTCTTGGAGGCTGAGTTGAACTGCTGACAGCCATCGAGCTTGGCATGCATGAGGCTAATCCTCGAATTATCCTTTTTGACAATGTCAAAGTCAACCTGGAGACTGAGCTCCTCCACTGGCTGAGTCACCAAGAGGCTCACATACATGCTGGCCTGGCCGCGTACTTTGCTGCTGCTGCAGTTGAATTCAGGCATGAGCGATGGCAGCATCGACACGCAGGTAAAGTTTTTAATTTGAATTGTCAAAGGACGATTCTGAAATGCAAATTGATTAGCAGAGCGAGCTAATGGAAGTGGAAGGAGCCTTACCTTAGCCGGGCTGGCAGCTAGCAGAGCGATCATCGCCAACAGCAGCAAGGGCCAACATTCGTTCAACATGATTCTCTTTGCGAGAATCAACGCGAGTTCCGCATTTTATAGCAAATGTTCTAATGGGCTTTTAATGTGTTTTGTCTGAAAAAGGAAATATTCAAATAATTTGCTGCGCGTTTTGCTGGCATTTCTTATCTAAAATATTAATTTATTATTTGATTTGTAATCTAGTCTAAAATTGTCAATTAATAAACTGTGTTGAGTATAGTATGTGATGCTGATTATAGAATTGAGATATTAAAATGGGCGTTTCTCTTCTTGATTAAGTAATTTATTGGAATGCTTGAATTATGCCATACACACAGACTTCGTAATGCAATTTTTATGGTTATAATTAATGTTGTATATGCATTTATAAAATAAAATTAAAATAAAATGTTTCAGC